AGCATTCATACTATGGATTAGGACTATTTCATTATGATGGAGGTATATATATTGTGCTGGTTATTTATATATCCTTAATATGAACTAATACTTTAATACTATGAGAATAATTGCTAGTTGTACAATTAGTGAAATTGAGTAAATTTGACTAGAGTATAAAGAAGTAATAGTTCTTTATATCCTCATAGGCGCTCAATTATAGAAAAACCTTTGAAATTCTGAAGCAGTAGTATCACTTTATTGTCAGATGGTAGATTCGATACAGATCTGAGCTTGACAGATGTCAACTATACAGTGAGATTATGAAAGTTTGGGCTGCATTTATTAGTGAAATAATTCACTTATTAGGCTTAGAATCATCTGTCACGTCGGGAGTTAATGTTGATTTATATGTAATTGGTATATCCACACTAGATATGTTTGGAAGAATGTGATGCACAATCGGTTGCAATACGCTGGAGGATAATAATCGAGCAGAATTGGAGCCGCCATCAAATTGGGAGGATACGACATCAGAGACTGTCGAGTGTATGACATTCTGGTGTGAATCACAAAGAAGTGGATCTGAGTGTACTGTTTGAGGCACTGTATTTGAGGTAGATTGTAGAAATGCACCGGTTATTTCACTTTGTGTTTGTATCAGGTTATTTGAAGACAATTTAGATGCCCCAAGCAGAGTTACTGGTGATTCTCTGTTGAAGACATTTTGTGCACAGTCCATGGAGATGCCAGAGTCTGAAAAAAAGGATCCATGAGCATCATTTATCGTGGATAGTTCGAGATTGGTCTTGGGAAGTTCAATTCTAGGCTGAATCACAATCTTCTTAGAAAGCCCTGGTTCTATTTTTTGGTGAGACAAGTGATTACAGTTAGCACAGGCCTGAGGTGAAACAGACAAGAGAACAGAATGCAAGCCGTGGTTAGGTGTACCTACATTTGGCCCAGATTGCGACGACTCGATGCTTATGGTGGAGAATGGTACAGAAGATAGGGGAAAATAGCTAACATTTGGCTGCTGATTGAGCTTCTGTACTGTTTGCATCAGCCGAATTGGCCTTACTCCATTCGCCCAAGTCTCATTCTGGCGATCTTGCAACAGGAATCCAGCCAAGCAATTTTGACCTTCAATAGAAACGTCTGTTACTGGCATGGAGACCCTAGGTGTATTGTAGCCGTCGAAATGTATGTCACAGTTTGATTCAAGCCGTGTAGCCCAGGGAGTTTCAGCAGTCGTCGTGCAGTTAGTAGAATTGACACGAGAATTAGGAGGGTGGAATGCAATCAAGCGAGGATAGTTTAGCTCGTCTTCAGTTAAACTTGAAGGCACAAAAGAGGAAGTAGTTTTGGAAAGTGGAAGCAATTGTCCCACAATTGTGGTGGCCTCGTTATCCTCCGATTGTGAAAGAGCTCTGGAAAAATCACAAGTGCACTGTTCTGTTAGTTTAATACTTTTAGGGTTGGTCAAAGATTCTCTAGCTGGACTTGTGAGGGTAGTTCTACCAGTCTCAACAAAGCAAACACTTAAGCCCGATCGGCTGCAATTGGAGTTAAATCGTAGTGAGTTGGACGAACCAGGCATTGCAAGCTGGAGCAGTGGGCTTGATCTACCGATGATTGATGAATTCACCTGTTTCCCTGACGTTTCTATGATGGAGGATAATGAAACTGACAGAGACCTTTCAATTTGGCATCCGAGAATATCGCTGGTTTGGCTTTTCGGAAGTTCCCTTGACCCAGAAGCTGCTGTCTGCTGACGAGAAACATAGGATTTCAGAAAGACTTTAGAAACCATGGTTCCAGACTCAAGTTTAGAATCGTTTGCCTGAGGGAGTGAAGCCGAATGGAGATTGTATCGACGAATAATAAGATGAATCAGCACAATCAGGGACACAATGAGCAGCAGAATTAGACCGATACCAGCACCAGATATAATCAAAAAGCTGCGGCGCTTATCAGCTATTCCATCTTGTGTTTTAAGAGAAAAATTATTAGTTTCATTTAAGGGAAAGATATGCTCTGAAAACTTAGAACTAAGATGGAAAAGCAAATCAGACTCGTTTTGTGGTGACTCGCTGGAAAGATCGAAATCTTCAAGAGATGATAATGAAGGCGGCAATGGAAGGCCTTCAAGATGAGTGAATACGCGAATCAGCATTTTTCCTTCTGCAGGCTGTACTTGACTTCCCGCATGAAGTGAAAAAGGCACTGCTTCTTGCTCGAAAACTGATTGACTATTGAAAACAATGGTCAAATTGGGCATTGTAAATGCCTCAAATATAAGATGATTGAGGGCAATATCTTCTTGGTTAAACGTTATTATTTCATCGTCTACTCGGTGATTGAAATCTGTCCAACTATAATCTTGATCTGATTTTGGCCTTGAAACAATGAATCGGCCAAGCCTTAGGCGAGTTGCGTTGTTTATTCTGAATTCAGGAAGTTGAAATGCCTCATTATGGAAATCTGCTTTGCTTTTCAAAAGTTGAATCAGTTCTGAAGTGTCCAGTATCGCTTGAGTGATTATTACTCGCCCTCCAGGCATTACATCAATTGGATGTATCACAATACGCGGGATCACTTGAATATTTATCAGAAAAGGATCCGATCGCCACTGATACAATGGCAATAGACTCTCTTTCGCTCTGCCATCAAAAGGTGAGACTTTGTCCATGAGTGCGAAAACTTCTAGTCGTCTGAATTCTGCATAAAGCAGTAGGGAATCATTGCCCACGGAAAAGTCCATCTGTTCGTAGGAGAGACGATTGCTTTTGAGATGGTTGAACGTGAAACGCTCTATGGGAACTGTATCGAGATACAGTCTACCGTACGAGGCGGCTCGAGTCAGCGTGAACTCAAGATGGTTGAGGAGTCGTTCTTTCTGAATGGGAAATCTGTCCATACTCGAGCATGGAGATGGGGGCAAGTCAATGTGAAGATGAGTCAAGCGCAAGAAGGCTCTGGTATCGCCTTGTCTCAGACGAGCCGGTCTTGTGGCTACGGCAAGGCGGAAAGCAGTGACATGGATCTGTAGCTCCGCTTGGATCGAGGTGCTACGGTCACGCTCAGTCAAGGTGACAGTAAAAGAGTCATTGAACATGCTTGAGCTGTGGCTCGTTGAGGCAGGCGAAGGTCTGGAAGACTTTAAATTTGCTTCGGTATTCCGTGGTCCTTGTTCACCCTGTTCTGGCTGGCTCAGGTAGACGACTCGGGCGGCAATGATGTCGGCTTGCCGGAAAGTACAGCCCCTGAAGCATGGCGTGCAAGCTAAATCGAATGGTCCCGGTGGTCCTACAAGAAGGCAAAGCTGACCGAATAAAGGTTCAGCTACCAGCCGATAGAGAAGCTCTTCACTTGGCGTATCTTCATCCTGGACCAACAGATGACTTGGTGAGATGAAGCTATAAAAACCGGCGAAAACATGCAGACAATCGGAGGGGATTGAGACCGAAGATGCGGACGAATTAGCAGAAGCAGGGATCGCTGGAGAGCTTTGATATGATCCAAATGAGTTGGTTGGTCGAAGAAGTCGAGGGCGTTGGTCATTGACTGGAACAATCGTAATAGGCAACCAAATGGAAGAAATCGGCATAAGTAGAGAGTCAGGAGAAAAGGCCAGCTAAAGTAGGGGAAGAATGAAAAAAAATGCTATTTAATTGATGGACTTAGAGATTTTTGGTACATTGCCTCATTTTCCTACAGAAGTTGAGTGAAAAAATTTCATTTCATACAACTGAAGCCTCTTGATGATATTTCAATTTGCCATGTAACATGACAATCTATAATGCCACAATTAAAGTCAGTGTAATTATGGCGATTATTAAAAGTAAAAGGAATATATATAAATAACAAAGCGTCATGGCAAATAGAATATCATGTTATATCAACAAATAATTCGAATCCAATATGGCAAGAAGTATTCTCCTTTCCATCATCCTCGTTTTTCATTCTATTTATGTAATTTTATTAAAGATATCTCTACCATTTATTCA